TAGACCGGTAGAAGTCGGGTGATTTCACCACCGCGAGCTATAGGTGGTTACCGGATCTGTTTGGATGGCTATGAAGTCATGGTATAACTAAGTGTTAAATGAAGTTGAGACCGGGCGGAGACTTGCGTGGTTTTGGACCGTAGTGTTTCCGCCTCGTATCGATTAAGACCGACCGTTGTTGGGCCTCGAGTCATGTTGAACGCATGCCTTACATTTAGCTGGCCGGATAAAGTACCTTCCGACCGCTGAAGCCGGGAGATTTTTTCGGACCGAGTAGATTGCCTTGCACATGCTTGTGTGCTTAAAGTGTGGTAGGACACGGGCGCGGGATGATAAGACCAAAGTGCGATCGGTCGGCCCCGGTACATGTGGTTCTGGCAAACTCGAGATACACGGAAAGTTGACTTCGGTGATCAATATCTCACTTTAGCGGGTGAGTGAGATTTGTGTAAGGGAATAAATCACCACCGGGTTAGAATCGATTCAATCGCCATCGCTCCCGGATAGTGAGCACTTGACTTGAGTGACTTCATCGTAGTAAATGTTTATGGAACACTTGGGCAGTTATAGTGAATATGACAAGATGGAAGTTGTTTAATGATCGATGGTTATCATTAATTGCTTAATCACATGTTTACTCTAGTATAGGTGCAAATCTAGTCGACAAGGTTAATAATAATTAACTTGACAATAATGCTTTAGAAAGGTTCTTGAAATGCTAAAATGCTTCTTTTGCAAATGAGTCACTACCCTACTATAAAGCCCGCATAATCCTTGGTGTCATTTATTTTCGGTTATGTCGGGTGAAAGTCCGGCCGAGTACCTTCTCGCATACTCGTGGTTTTATTCCCACTTGTTGCGTATGGGCGAGATGTATTACGGCTATTGTATCAACCGTCTTTATCCTGCGATGGGTGATGCTTAGGACCATGGGCATGGTCATTCTTTACGCCTCATCTAATGCTTTTGTTGGAGATGATCATTCACTGGCACTATATTTAAACTCCGCGTGAGTGTGTGTGTGGTTTGAACAAATGACTTCCGCTACTTTTATTCGAATCGGTTTGTAATAACTATGTTTAAACTCGATGTATCCGAGATTGCGAACTTTTATGTAATATGTGATGGTGACTTGCTAAACTTATTACGATCATGGCTGGGACACGAGTTGGTTTGAAATCCTTCATTTCATTTCACGGACTACCGGGTTATACGGACTTAAGTTTGCTAAATCGTCTGCTCTGGCGGATGATTTTCTTACTTAATTTCGTATAATTGGTCGGTTCTGTTACATAAGGCTCCCCCACGTGCCTCTGAGGCATCAACAGTATTGTGGACACCGGTATTTACCGTACCAGGCGAACATGGTAAAACCCCTTGCATGCCTCTGGATATCAACAGTATGGCAGGCACCGACGTCTGCCATACCTGAAGAAGACAACACAACCTCCCACGTGCATCTGACATTCAACAGTATTGTGTGCGCCTACCATCATCTTATACCCGCCGGCGTGGGCAGCAAGACTTAGCAGCGTACGCACTCTCTCCCTCTCACTTGTAAGACCACCCCCTTCATCTATAAAAGGGGATGCGCTCTCTTCCAAAAGGTAGTGGATTCAGATCGATCAGTTCTACTAATTCACAACAACAGAACCACCAGGTTTAAACCACAAGCACACGCTTGAACACTTAGCACATAGCGGAGCTCCCGTCACTCTCGGCCTCTCTGACCAGAGTCCGACCGGACCTCTTGTACCCCCATCTTTCTCCTTCTCGTTTGTAACCCCACTGAAAACTTCGAGCACATGGGCTCAGGAATAAAGTCACCGACCGACTCAAACTGGACGTAGGGCACGTTGCCTGAACTAGTATAAATCCTGTGTCATTGAGTGCAAGGCCACCTCCGATCACAACGTATGGTAAAACTACAAATATTTACGTGTTGGTCACTTTCTGTACCGACAGTATGAAAACAAGTTTGGTGCAGTTAGATTGCAGAGGATAGAGGTAAACACAACCGGTACAGCCTATAGGTAAGAAAAAGACAGCATGGGACAACTTTTTTTTTTTCTAGTGGTACAGGTGTAGTTGGTCCTTCACCTATCACTACGCCTCCTTCATTTATATCTATCTCTGCCTTAACATCTCCTTCCATATATATGTGCTTCTGAGCTATCAGCGTTCCTCGACACATTACCAAATTTTTATGTGATGTATATCATGTGATCATATTCATGTATTGGAAAAAATGAACTCTTGATGTTGTATGGATTCCATGGTGGTGTAACATGTCTAGTGGGCTTCGGGCTGGCCTGACATGTAGGGTGTGCCGTGTTTTCTAGACTACCTGGAATGGAAAACAACCTAGCGTGCCGTCTGTGAGGACCCGCCAAGTTAATCACTGATAGGAGAAAAGAAGACCGAATCGGATTCCCTCAAGCCGATGACTCTCATGCCGATTGTAACACTTTTACTAACAATTTAAAATAGTGTACCACTTATTATAGAGTATATGAAGTAGTTAGATTTCCACTCATATGAAGAACAATTCTCCACTCTAAGGATTGAAATCCTAGGTATACAGGGGGTCCTCGGATCATTGATGTCACCGTCGGACATAGTTTTTTTAGAATCAGTACCACTTTATTCATATATTAGAGTAATCGGTATAAACTCCATTCGAAGGAAAAAGCATCCAAACATGCCGCCCTACAGATTCATAAATTGAACTTTTAGCTAATCTATGAGCATTACCATTTGAGTTCCTGCTTTCATAGACAACCTCCACCGATGTGAAGCCATACCTACCTTAATCTCCCTGATGATGTGGCCATAGGGACTCATCCTCGGGCCACGCATATTCTTCACTATGTTCACGTAGTCGGTAGCAATCCTGACCTTCCAAGCATGAGGTCACTCATGAGCTAGACCTTCTCTGTAGGCCAACAATTCCATCATCGCCGGATCTTAAACTCCTTCCATCACAGTTGCAGACACTCCCAAAAAAGTGTCTGCCTCATCCCTTGTAATCGCTACCACCATTGCAATGCAAGAATTCTTAGATAGTGCAACATCCACATTTATCTTCATCACTCCCTAAGGGGACAGGATCCAGCAAGGGTTGTTCTAAGCTGGCACCCCTATCTTCTTCTACACATTTGGCGTAGCCAATTCCAAGTCTGCAATGAAGCACTCCACAAAATTGTGAGTCGATAACAGACTCTGGAAAATATTTTCATGTACAGCTTGTCTCGCATACCAAACCAACCACATCGTGACTATCGGCCGCACAAGATCCTTATGCCGGAGAGCTGCGACCGCCTCTTGAAGCCAACCACGAGCATCACTATGCTGGCCTGACTAATAAACTCCAAGATCTCTTCGCCTTGTAACTTCCAACTTGACCATGTTGCACTCCACAAGGAGTGACGCCATGAATCTTGGCGACCGCAGAAAGAACATCTACTGGTTTGTGCCATGTTCCTTTGCTGTTACATCTCCCGTAGGTAATGGGTGCCTTGCAAGTCGTCAAAAGAAGACGCGGACTTTGGACGGGACTTTAACCTTTCACAAATTCGTCTAATCTTTTTGATCCGTCCTTACATCAAACCTGCATGGATTATGATCGATTCAATTTGTTCTATTATCCCGATTGTTGACCAACATCCGGTATGCCGATCTGACAGAAAGCACCCCGCCGGACATAGCTGGTTTCTCTTCTCTTACCCGTGTCCCTCCCCCAAGCCAAGGCCAACGGCAAATAGCACACACAGCTACCAACATTAATGGACCGAGTCAGTTGGGACCGCAATTTGGGCCGAAGTACTTCGTGTTGGGCTTGGGCTGCCTAGCCGCTCTTCTGGTGTCGCGTCGTCTCCTAACTCCTTGGCGTCCTTGGAGATCTTTTTGTTTTTTATAATCTCGCGCGGCAAAAATCGACTTTGGGAAGGGTTCTCTCTCTCCATCTAGGAGTACTACTATCTTCCCAGTTGATGTGCTTCTTCCTCAATCCTCAGTTGACTTGAGCTGCAGTTTCGAGGCGGATTATTAATTGATGTGCTTCTTCCCATTTTGTCTGTAGCCTTTTCATCTCTTCCGAGTTCCCGACTATTGCTTCATCTCTCAACAACAAACCCCACTTTAACTCGAATATGCCGTCGCTAGATCTGAATCTAGCTTGGTCTGGGCAACCACCGCCGTCTTAGCGCCGCCACCGGTCCGGACATGCATGGCGCCATCCCGCCCCCATCGTCTTTTTCTTGGTGAGGTAGACCTCTTTACCATCCAAATCGACCTGTTAATTACTTCTGCATTTTTTTTTAATTTTCCATTGGTGAATCATCATTTTTTTGAGATATTCAGACTCACGAACTCATTGTTGCATGATCAGTGAATTTATTAGATTCGATCAACCAGCAATTAATTAACTGCTACCCTTCTGATGGAACCTTCACACTAGATGTACATAAATGGTTCTGCTCGACTGCTCCCAAGCTCATCCTTCAGTACAGTACCTTCACACTAGATGTACGTAAATGGTTCTGCTCCCAACAATGTCGTTAGTTACCTGTTTTTAGATTAAGGAAAAAACATCCGGCCTCCAACATTCAGCAAGTGAATGTGTACAGCCACACGATACAGAAACAACACTAAGGCCAAACCGAAAACCGGTTACCCTTTAGCTAGTAAGTACAGGCACGAGCAACTGCTCTTCGACAGATTATTCATGGCTATCGATGCGATCCTAATCACCTTGAATGATCTAATTTGGTTGGTTTTATGATAACAAAATCACGCAGGACGATTGATATGGTTCAATTTGGTAATCTGGTGCCATTTCTGTGAAATCAATTCGATGCAGGTTGTTCTGCCACAAGCATGAAAGACCAAAGGATGTTAAAGGGAAAGCAAAGCTCACTGACCTGACTGACAAGTGGATTTGCTTCCGAGGAACAAAGTATCTGCTTCAGACTCAGAGCTTCACTCGTGCAACCTTGTGAATGGAGACTATTGTTGTTACTGCAGCAGAGGGTGCTGTGAAGACATTGCTGGGAAAGCTGGGCTCTGTTCTTGCTCAACAAAACCAACTTGTTGGTGGGGTCCGAGGTGAGCTGCAATACATCAAGGATGAGCTCGAGAGCATGAACGCCTTCCTCCAGAACCTTGCGACTGCTAACAGCCATGGCGTCCAAGTTAAGATATGGATGAAGCAAGTCAGAGAGATGGCCTATGATGCTGAGGATTGCGTTGATGAGTTTCAACACCACTTTGGTGGCTCCCGTGGAGATGGCATTATGGGGTTCTTACGTAGAATGAAGCATCTTTTGTCCACTCTGAATGCCCGCCATCGAATTGTCATGCAAGTGCAAGAGCTTAAGAATCGTGCTCAAGATGTTAGTGACAGGTATGCAAGGTACAGTGGTGCTAATGCTATTGTTGCTGCCTCTGGCTTGCAAGGCTCTGCCATTTCAACCTCAAACTGTTTAGCCCTTGATCCTAGGCAAGCAATTGGTTTCATACAGGAAGGTCTTCTCGTGGGAATCGATAAACGGAGGAACAGGCTCCTCAAATATATAATGGAAGACTACGGAAAACAGTTAAGGGTAATTTCTATTTTTGACTTTGGAGGGTTAGGCAAGACTACTATAGCCAAGGCAATATGTGATAGTCCACACTCAAAGAGTGGTCAGTTCCAATGTCAAGCTTTTGTTACGGTCTCCCAGAAATTTGATCTGAAGGCAATATTGAGAGACATCCTTGGGCAGCTCATTCCACATGGTTCTAATCAACATGTCAACTCGTACATACTAGATATTCAGGATGAGCAACTCAAGGTTTTGAAGTGTGGGATGTGAAAAGACTGGGTGACAAACTGCGTTAAGATTTGGATGACAAAAGGTACCTCATTGTTTTTGATGATATTTGGTCTGATTCAGCTTGGGACAATTTTAAGTTCTTTTTACCAAGGAATCATTTGGGTAGTGTAATAATTGTTACTACAAGGATAAGAAGTGTGGCTAATTATTGTTCTCATCTCAAACATGACTGTAGCTATGAAATTGAACCCTTAAATCAGATAGAAGCGAAAGAACTGTTCTTCAGGAGATTATTTGGTCAAGTAGATGTCTGCCCTCAAAACTTGCAGAAAGTTTCAGAAGACATTTTGAAGAAATGTGGTGGTATGCCTCGGGCCATCAATAGTATAACAGGGATTTTGGCTAGTAGGGAAGTCAAGAGTTTCGTGGATTGGCAGACCTTACATAACTCTCTTGGCTCTGAGTTGGATAATGCCTCAACCATGGAGAAAGTAAAGCATATACTGTTAGTTGATCTCCACCATAGGCCCAACGGCCTATTGGGTCCTTATCTCTGCTCCCTGATCGGGGGAGCCCAACCCTAATCCGGTTGGTGGGCCCCTGTCGCACAGCACACATAAAAGGAAGGTGGGGGTGAGGGCTCGGACAACGAGGTTCGCCGTGAGCCGCCATTCCCACCTACAGTAACCCTAATCCGATCTAAAGGCCGTGCTGCCAGCGACGGGATGAGCCCCAACCACCGCCGTCGACCCACTGCAGGGTCACCACCGGACCGCTGTCTCTCCACCAGCGCCACTAGACTTCACCGCCACCGCGCTGGACGTCTTCTACACTGCGGCACCGGCGTCTACCCGCTACGGTGCATCTCCAGAGAGAAGGCGAGGAGTCTACCCGGATCTACGGGTCACACAGAGGTACCAATCCTACGATCCTAACAATGGTACCAGAGCCGGTTGGCTTTGTGTAACCCTAACCCTAACCGGGTAAAAGCAAAGAAAAGGGATCGGGGGTGGCGGATGTCACTGGAACCCGGTCACCACCGCCACCGCGCGGGGGAAGAAGAGCATTGCCGTCCTCACCGGCGCGCAACAAGAAAAGAACAGATCCTTATTCGGATCAGAGAATAGAAAGGGGAAAAAGATCTTAAGAATCCCAACCCTAACCCTAATCGGGTGAAACAACAGTGAACAGAAAGGGGAAAGGATCTCAAGAACCTAACCCTAATCCACGCAAATAGCTCGAGGAAGAAGAAAAGAAAAGGTTTTGGCCTTAAGATGAACAGAGCCGAACCCTAAATCAAAGAAAAGAAAAAGAAATCAATTGAAAAGCGAAACCCTAACCCAAGAACGAATCCCCATCATTAATTGGTTCAATCCGAGAAGAAAGAAAGGAAAACAGAAAAGAAAGAAGAAGAAGAGGGGTCGGCACACGAACCCTAACCCTAGATCCCCTTTTCGGGTGAACGAGTGAAAAGAAAGAAAGAAGATAGAAATCGAATCCGAAGGGGAAGAAGAAAAGGAACCGAAGATTCCCATTCGGATTGAACCCTAGAACAAACCCTATTTCCCCACAAATGGTTCGGAAAGAGAGGATCAATCCAAACCCAAAAGAACTAGGGAAAAAGAAAAGGAAAAGAATGAAAAGAGACCTCGCCGTGAACCGAGCGAATCATTTCGCCATGAGGAGAGAAGAAGACCGAACTCGGGTGTGCTTTGCACGGAATAGGCCACTTTCGGTGCTGCTGGCCAAAGCCGCTCGGCGGCGGCGCACACCACTCATTGGGAGCGCAGACGCTGGGCGAGGGGGCCGGGCGACGGCGCGGGGCTCATTGCTCCACTGCTTCTGCCTTGCTTCGCTCTCGGTTCGCCGCTTCGGTGCTCATTGCTACCGAAGAAAGAACGAGGCGAAGAGAGAGAGAGAGGAGGGGCGAATGAGATAGGGTTTCAGAGAGCGGCGCCGGGTTGCCGCTTTTTGTTCACCCGAGAACCACGAACAGCCGTCGGATCTGATCCAACGGTGCCGGTTGATCGGGCCGCTCTCGGCCCAAAGTGCAAGCGGGGCGTGAGGCCACTTTCCTGCCCAGCCCAAAGTTGCGGCTCGGGCGCTGGAGGGCGCAGCCGTCTTGTTTGTGGGCGTGGGCGTTTGGTAAACAAGAAAGAGCAAGAGCCCAATTTTTCTTTTTCCTGGAAAATTGAATATGCAAATTGGCTCAAAAGAAAAATAGAAAAGTAATTTTTCCCTATGGGTAAAATTCAAGAAAAGGAGAAGTTTTTCCACAGCTAGAGAAATTGTTTATTCTCCAGTTAATTTATACCAACGTGGTATTTAATTAGAGAAAAAGAAAGTTTTTCCGCTGCTAAAGAAATTGTTAATTCTTCAGTTATTTTGAACCAATGTGGTATTTAATTGAAGAAAAAGAGTTTTGATATGATTATGATGTTGTTATTTTCTGACCAACGTTGTTAATAACAATATCGTAATTTTAAGGATTTATGCATTGATTCTACTTCTGCCCAACGGTGATGTAGAATTAGTGTATAAGAAAAGTTGATAATTTTAATGATTTATGCATTAATTCTACTTCTGACCAACGGTGATGTAAAATTAGTGTATGAGAACAGCTGTAAAAGTTAATGATTTATGCATTAATTCTATTTCTGCCCAACGGTGATATAGAATTAGTGTGTAAGAACAGATGTGAAAGTTAATGATTTATGCATTAATTATATTTCTGCCCAACGGTGATGTAGAATTAGTGTATAAGAATAGTTGTATGTTTTGATTTTGACCAACGTTGGAATCAAGGCATGCAAATGGTGTTATTTTATGTTAAGAAAAGTTTTGACATGATTTTCATCTTGTCTAAGGTGGATCAGAAGTCACCTCACCGTGTTCCACCGAGATTGTGGCACCGTGAGAGGGAGACAAAAGTGAATGATGCCACTTGGGCAACTAAAGAAAGGGATTTTGAATCCCAAAAGATATCCTATGGCTTTTGAGCATAGGAAGTGGGTCACCGCAAACAAGAAATGTTTGGCGGTGATAAAGAACATGATTGAACACAGTAATTGTGGGCTCAATCCCGAATGTGACACGGTCACCGAATACCTCGATAGAATAAAGAGTCGAGTTCACTGGCTCTTCAAAGACATATGCCACTTAGGCGAGCTTAAAGCGCTTGGTCACAGAGTGTTACTCGGAAATGGTGGCATAAGAGAGCTTACGATGTGTTATCGAAATTATGGCACCGCTGTTTAGGCCATATTTCGAGGGGAGAATAGAAAGACAAGTTAAGAATGATATTCTTCCTCCATTAGAGCTCTCGATTTAGAACAATGCAGAGAATGCATAAAAGGAAAGTATGTAAAGAAGATTAAGAAAGATGCCAAATGAAGTGCGGAGTTTTATAGATTATTCACACAGACATCCGTGGTCGGCTTTTCCCGTGAAAGAGTGTGGATGGTAATGATTCGTTCATAACATTCACATATGAGTACTCCCATTATGGCTATATTTATCCAATCAAAGAAAGAAAAGATGTATTGGATAAATTTAAGATATTAAAGATTAAGATAGTCAGGTCTGACCGTGGAGGAGTACTACGGTCAGCATACCCTAAAATAATGGCATAGTAGCCCAGTATTCTATACCTGGCAAACCTCAGCAGAATAGAGTAGCTAAAAGAATCAATCGTACCCTGATGGATATGGTGGGCGATATGATAAGTTACTCCACCTTACAGCTTGAGCTCAGGAATGGAGGCGTTGAAAACGGCCATTCATATTCTCAATAAAGTATCAAGAAAGTCGGTGCCCAAAACACCGTATGAGTTGTGGATAGAAAGAGTACCCTCACTAAACACTTGAGTGTGTGGGGAAGCCCTGCTGACGCTAAAGTATTTAACCCAAACATTGGAAAACTAGATCCCAAAATAGTAAGTTGCCATTTCATTGGCTACAAAGAAAAGTCAAAAGGTTTTCGTTTCTACTATCCACAGTGACATACAAAGTTTGTGGAAACGAGACACGCTGTCTTCCTAGAGGACGAAAATATGAGGGGGCATGGTAGCTCGAGAAATTGTCCTTGAAGTGAAGCGGTGTATGCGCCCACTCAATGATTCATGAGCCATTTTCTCACTACTGCTTTGTATCTGCACCGACGAAGCTATGACTTTGTGGTGCCAAGACTGTTGTTATCCCACCGTGGCAACAATGAATGACGATGAGGAACCTGTTCTTGAGATTCTATAGAACCTATTGCCACATATGAGGGGAGGAACAACAGCCTCAAACAATAGATGTGCTAAATGTGGAGGCCCTAGAAGGTCTCAAAAGAGTTAGAAAATCAGCTATTTCTGCATGATTATGAAGTGTATAACACTAAGGAATTTCAAATGGAGGATGATCCCACCTCATTTGAAGAAGCCATGAGAAGTGATGATTCATCAAAGTGGCTTGAGGCCATGAAAAATGAAATGAAATCGATGAATGTCAATAAAGTTTGGGATTTGGAAATAATTCCTAAAGGAGTCAAAACAGTAGGCTATAAATGGGTCTACAAGACTAAACATGACTCTCAAGGGAATATAGAGACATATAAAGTGTGACTTGTGGCAAAAGGCTTTATGCAAAGAGAAGGGATTGATTACAATGAGACCTTTTCTCTAGTCTCATGTAAAATTTCCTTCAGAATCATAATGGCATTAGTGGCACATTACGATTGAGAATTACATCAGATGGATGTAAAGACGGCATTTCTCAACGGAGACTTGGAGGAAAATGGTTACATGGCACAACCGAAAGGTTTTGTCATGGAAGGAAAAGAACGAATGGGATGCCGCCTAAAGAAATCCATTTATGGATTAAAGCAAGCTTTAAGACAGTGGTACTTGAAGTTTGATCAGTCAATAAAGAATTTTGGGTTTTAAAAGAGAATGTAGAGGACAATTGTGTCTATGCAAAGTTTAAGAATCGGAAGTTTATCTTCCTTGTCCTGTATGTAGATGATATCTTACTTGCTAGTAGTGATGTCAGTCTACTATAGGAGACAAAGAAGTTTTGTCCCCAAAACTTGATATGAAAGATCTTGACGAAGCCTCGTTCGTTCTAGGGATCGAGATTCACCGAGATAGAAGAAAAGGGTATAATGACTGTCACAAAAGGCATACATGGAAAAGATCTTAAAGAAATTCAAAGATGCACAAGTGTAGTCCCTCACCGCTCCTATAGTCAAGGGCGACGAGATATGGGGATTTTCAATGCCCTGTGAACCAATATGAGCTCAATTGATAAAGTGAAAGTGGTTCCATATGATTCAAATTGTCGGAAGCTTGCAATATGCTCAAGTATGTACACGCCTCGACTTGGCATTTGTTACCGGATTTTACTTGATGATTCCGAGCAATTCGAATAGAACGCTGAAATTAGTAAAGAAAGTCTTGCATTATTTGCAAGGAACGAAAGGCCTCATGATGACATATAGAAGATCGATTCACTCCACATGGTGGGATATTCAGATTACGATTATGCGAGTGAATGCATATCCGCACGTGGATTTTCTATCATCTCGCAAAGGGAGCTATTTCATGGAAAAGCTCAAAAGCAAATCGTCATTACATCGTCCACAATGTATGACAGTTAGTAGCGTGTTATGAGGCAACGGCGGTGAACTAACTAACGAAGTTCATACCCGGTTTGAAGGTGGTTGACGACATCTATAAACCACTAAAGTAATACTGCGATTATAATCTGGCAGTATAGGATGCTCACAACATAAGTCAAGTGGTGTTGCTAAACACATTGACATAGAGTATTATGTTGTGAAAGATAAAGTCCGGATCAAGTCATAAGTCTTGAGCATATAAGAACAGAAAGGATGCTCATGGATCCGCTTACAAAAGGCTTACCACCCAACATGTTCAGAGAGGACATGGTGTCCAGAGAACATGTAGCTAGCTTGGGTTTAAGGAAAGCCTAAAATATTCTGGACAAAAGAAGGCCCAAAGATAAGTATCTATTTGAATGCAGTAGTGAGTTGTACCACATTAAGTCTATCGGCAATGGACCGTGACGATGAGACATGCTCTATGAGCTAATCTGTAATGGAATGAACAAAAGTAAATGATATGAAAGTGAAAGATGGAATGAGATGAAGGGGAAGAATGTTAGTTGATCTCCACCATAGGCCCAACGGCCTATTGGGCCCTTATCTCTGCTCCCTGATCGGGGGAGCCCAACCCTAATCCGGTTGGTGGGCCCCTGTCGCACAGCACACATAAAAGGAAGGTGGGGGTGAGGGCTCGGACAACGAGGTTCGCCGTGAGCCGCCATTCCCACCTGAAGAACCCTAATCCGATCTAAAGGCCGTCTTTGCCAAATGACGGGATGAGCTAACCACCGCCGTCGACCCACTGCAGGGTCACCACCGGACCGCTGTCTCTCCACCAGCGCCACTGGACTTCACCGCCACCGCGCTGGACGTCTTCTACACTGCGGCACCGGCGTCTACCCGCTACGGTGCATCTCCAGAGAGAAGGCGAGGAGTCTACCCGGATCTACGGGTCACACAGAGGTACCGATCCTACGATCCTAACATATACTAGTATTGAGTTATAGTGATTTGCCTTACCATTTGAAGACTTGCTTCTTGTATTTCAGTATCTTTCGAGAGGACTACAAGATTAGAAGGAAAAATGTTATCCAGCGATGGGTGGCGGAAGGCTTTGTATCTGAGAAGCGGGGGCTATCTGCAGAGCAGGTTGCTGAGAGCTACTTTGCAGAATTTATCAATAGGAGCATCATCCAACCTATTGATATAAGTGATAGTGGAAAAGTTAAAACTTGTAGGATTCATGACGTAATGTTGGAGGTCATCGTCGGGCTGTCAGTTGAGCAGAACTTTGTATCACTTATGGGGGATCAATATGTAAGGACTTCCCATGATAAAGTTCGACGGGTTTCCTTACATGGCAGTGGGTCGTACAATCTATCAACTAGCTTGGAATTGTCACATGTTCGATCGCTAAGCTCCTTTGGAGATATGCCAGGAGTTGTCTGTTTCAACAAGGCGAGATTTCTTAGAGTGGTGGATCTGGAAAACTGTGAATTTCTAAGGAATCATCACCTTAAACAGATCTGTGCATTGTTCCAACTTAAGTTCTTGAGTTTAAGAAACGGGCACAACATAAATAGGCTTCCAAGAAATATACGGAATCTGAAGAGCTTGGAAACTCTGGATTTAAGGGGGACATGTGTGGATGAGTTGCCTGGTAGTCTCACTGAGCTTAAGCACTTGGTACATTTTCGTTCGGGTATACCTACTTGCCGTTTGGCTTTGGAAAAATGAAAAGCATACAGTCCTTGGGGTTGATAGAGATCTCAGATGACACATCTTGGAGGATACAGGAGATTGGATGCTTGGTGCAACTAAAGAAGCTTCGGATACGGTCACGCAATGGTCTGAACAAGGAGAACTGGGAGTCTCTACTTGCAGTCATTGAGAAGCTGAGCAGGTCCCTCGTGTCCCTGTCAATTGAAACAGATGGGAGGACCTTTTGTTTGCCACTTGATTTCTCATCCTCCCCACCGCTGCTCCTACAAAGCCTCCTACTCTATGAAAAACTAGAAGCGTTACCGAGTTTGGTTGCGTCGCTGGATAACCTTGTCAAGTTAACTCTTGGTGGCACCCAATTGAAGGATGATGACATCCAAGTTCTCCAGAAGCTCCCGAGACTGTTCTCTCTGAGGCTGTGGTTTGCATTTGCTACAAAGCACTTTGTTGTAGGATGCTCTGGGTTTCCCAATCTTCAACTACTTGCAATTCAAGGTTGGGATGGTCCTCTTGAAATGACTTTGGAGGAAGGATCTATGCAGAAGCTCCACAAACTTGTGCTGCTGGTGGCATACCGTAGTAGTACGCTGAAGAGTGTTAAAGGGGTGCGGTATCTCCAAAGTCTTCAAACAGTTGAAATAAGAGGTAAATCTACTGAACCTATGGAAGCTCTGTTGCAAGAGCTCAGAGCTGAAGCAAGCCATCTTCCTCACCATCCTACAGTAATTTTTAAGAAGGTTTGAAGCCACGTGTGTATCTATCAATGATAATGCTTGTCCTGAGAATTTGTTCTAGCATGTGGTGTCTCTTAGCGTTGGACTCACATGTCACACTGATTTTTCATGTTCCCTTCGATCTTCGGAACAGGGATCCTTTAGAACTGGGGATACATTTATCATTGTTTTTAAGTTTTATTGATGTAGTACCTTGTATTAATTCAGCTGTTGATTAATCATTGAAGACTTCAGTGATAGATAAAATATCTTTGGTTGATGTTTTGGCCACCTTCATCTTTTGGGCTATTTATGTTGAATATCGTATGCAACATAACATGCTCGGCACGAATATATGGCGGCACGGGGATACCTATTGGACGATCCCTCATCATATGACATCTCATCACTACGATTCTGTATGTTCAAGTTGGGGTGGTGTAGATGGTGACTACAACTGATGCAGTAAGAGCATCAGGAATTCAGGATAGGCTGATGGCAGTGGTAGCGCTATATCCAGACACCTCTCACAAACCTGTATATTGAGCTGGGACGAAATTGATGGTGACTACAACAGATGCACTCATTTGCAGGCTGCAGCTTGCTAAACTCCCGATAACAGTTTCTATAGCATCATTTCCTTCCTCCAGGTCCATAAATACCATGAACAACGTCAATCTATAGGTGCCGAAGAAAATTGAAGGCGCTTCAAAGGTCACAACGACATCAATGAGGCAACACGAGTAATTTTCAAGCATCATCAACAATGATGGAGAAGTTGCATACAAAATGAATCCAGAATGTTTCCTCAGGAAAGCACGGCTTCTCCCAAATATGTTATTGGCAAAATGTTCAAGTGTTTTCATCAAACCATTCACATCTAAAAGAGATTATCTACTAATAAAAAAGGAAACTGTTATAAGTAGATTTCATCTCACCAGTAAAATCGCTTACGAGTTTCAGTAATCATCAATGCAGGGAAAAAAATGCGAACTTTAATCTAAAAAATACGAATATGTACAAGCAGAAATTGTATTAAAAGAGGGTTACTTGATAAACTAACTAGCACCTACATAGGAGCGCTACCATAAATGGAAGTCAAGACAGAGGCGTATTGTCAGAAATGCACGGCACCACTTGTGCAGAATGTGCCGACTGCTGAGAGTGGAACCAAATTTTATCCACGTTCAATGTGTAGAAGCAGTCACCCGGTAATAAACTTTACCAACCTAGACAAAAGGATGAATTATGTCTGAAGTTATAAGTTGGCACTCTTGGATTCAGTAACCAACAGAAGTTACAGAAGCTTAGTAAATCAAGATGAACAGTGAAAACTTGGGGGCCCGAATCCTACAAAAGAAATCTAGAAAAGTTTATCAATACACTTGAAATTCATATGGTAAACTCATTCTACCTTGCACTAAATTCACTAGCTACATCGACTTACAGTCTGGTATATTGAACATGAGGTGATAGTGTTACAGTGGTTTACATGGTACAAGTACAACAAAGCAACATAATGCACAGTCAGCGAGGGAACTCTGTAGAATATATCATTTCTTGCTCCATGGTATAACAGCAAGGCCATTTTCAGCTCTCTTGTTCATAGTCAGGGGAGTAGATTTATACTCTGAAGATAATAACTGTTTGGTTTCTCTGCCCCTTTTTGACTCCTCTTTGTATGTTCTAGATATTTTAGCTCTTAGGAGTTGCAATCTTAATTCCACTTCTTTCATTTTAGGTCTCTGTTCTCCTTTAGGCCTTAAACACATCTCCGCAGCCAAGGTAATCTCATCAACATCACTTTGGCTAGCTTCCTCTAGAACTTGGCAATCCACCAAATCCATAGTAGTTTTATCTCTAAGCACTTCAAGGAAATAATGACACAAGTTCTGCTTTTCACCAAGGTGGTTGAGGAAAATTGGCTTCTTCCTTGTTAGGAGCTCAACAAGTATCAGTCTGATCAATGGAAATGGATCTGGAAGCACCAAAGTCTGAAACCTTTGCAGTGAAGGCATCATCCAAGAGTATGTTAGTTGATTTCACATCTCTATGAAAGATTGGCATAGCAGCAGAAGAATGGAGGTAAGAAAGTGCCCCAGCAGCCTCTAGAGCAATCCTGATACGGTCCTCCCATGTTAACAAGCATTTGGCACTCAGATTGCCATGAAGAAGATCATGAAGTGTGCCATTAGAGATGAATTCATATACGAGAAGCGGCACCTCAGATTCAAGGCAACAACCAAAAAGTTTCACCACATTGTGATGAATTATCTGTGACAGGATGGCCACCTCATTAACAAATTGGTCGATCTCACTCTGCTCCACAATTTTAGACCTTTTGATGGCGACTACCCGTTGGTCAGATAAAATACCCTTGTAAACTGTGCCATGGCCTCCATGTCCAATAATACGTGTCGAGTCAAAGTTGTTGGTTGCTTTCTCTAACTCTTCCAAGGAAAATATTCTTGTGTTATGTGTAACACTTTCACTCGAAGAGATCAGCTGCTCCAAGAGTAGGCCTTTGTTTTTCCGGAAGTATGCCCTTCGGATTTTCTTTTGTGTGTCTATCTTCCACCTTTTGACTAATACGATTGCAGTCAATGTAAGAAGTAGGACTCCAAAACCACTGCGAATTCCGACAACAATACCTACATGAGTAATTGCAACAATTGTGAAGTTATATCTTTGACAACTGGAGTGCAGAGACATCAAATGGTAAGGAAAGTGTGACATACCCAAAAGAACACTTTGCCGCTTACTAGAAGTGCACTGCCTTCTTACTGGATCAAAATGCATACCTTGAGGGCAACAGCCATAGCTTCCTTGAAAGTTATAGCATGTCCTGTTACAATAGTTTGGTATCGAGCACTCATCAATATCTGATAACAGAATCCCAAACAATGTAAAAATGGAGTGGATAAAATATGTCACTTTTGATGATGGTCCTATTGCTTTGTCTCAACCACACCTCATTAATATATATGCAAATGGCATACAGTCAAATTCAATGGATAGCATGCAATTGTTGTCAAATATGCCTATTGTTGCACAATCAAATGCATGCATTGGATAGGTTAAGGAATGCACACTTGTACATCCATTTTGAACATAAGGGTTTCCTTCAAAACCAGGAGAGCACTTGCAACGATAACCAATATAGATCGTCCCATGTGTAACACCAAGGCACTCGCTGTTTGTGCTGATGCATGCATAAGTTCTGTCGCGTTTTGCACTTTCACATGTCAAATTGGTTACTGACCAACTCCAAGAACCATACTCTTCAGATAAGTCAGATTTCTCCAGACCATAAATTAGTTGCTGGCCAAAGTACTCAGAACCTCCATAGTATATCGATAAATAATTTGTGTTGGCATCTTCAGATTCTGAAAGCTTATTGACATACAAGAGTCCTTCATCTAATGAAATATTTGTCACTTCATATTTTGCAGGTGGTCTTCCAATAAGAGTGCGATTGGATGCACAATTCAATTGAAATCTCCTTTTAGCAAAACAGCCTGGCTCCAGCCCGAAAGGGAAAGGAATATATGTGTTTCCACATGATCGAGAACAGTTTGTCTTGGGGGTTAGGTTATACTCTGCTCCAGTTAAGAAAATCAAAATATGACTAAAAGTGTGTCACAATATAATAATCAGTGACAAAAAGAAGCACCGGGGGGAGAGTGAGTGAGAGAGGAGTTGTGTGCATACCTTGTTTGCAATCATCAAGAAGGTATGGGTTGCCAGTTGCCACCATCAAAATTTCCAGAGCAAGCACAAGAGTAGCCTCCATTTTTTACATCCATGCGATCACTATTGCCACATGCATACTGTGTTTTATTATCCAACTGGGCTTGTTTGCAGTTGGGTTCATCAGCGATGACAGTTGAGAGGTATGCGGATGAAGCAGCAACGATGCTTGCATTTATTTTATCAGACAATAGATCCATAATACTAAACTTATATGGACGGAAGCTTAAGAAAGCCTTGACGGTGATATCATGGAAGGGTTCTGGTACTGTATCGTTGTTCTTTACGATGGTCACTCTGAACCCTTGAAACGGCACCGGGAACGTGACAGCGCAGCAGCCCATGCCATTGCAGCTCCCTCCTTGTGTTGCTATGAGCATGGCCTCCATGGAGGAACACTTGCTTGTGCAATGGCCTACAAGGTCACCGGTGTCTGGGTGGAACAAGTAGATCCCAATTCCGCAACCAAGGAACGCAAAGTAATTGTAAGACTCGATGTTGAGGTTACGCCCAGGAGACTGCCAGGACAAGTTGTAGGTGCCAACACCTGGTGCCATGGTGATGGTGTACACAATAGAGGCAAGGACAGTTCCTGCAGGATAGAGGGCAGTTACCTGAGTGGTGGTGTTTCCCTTGCCCAAGAAGAGCTTCCAAGGTTTGGTGGTCCTATCGCAGGTGACCTCGAATCCCTGCCGGAAGCAGCCAGGCCCGATGCCGAAGGGGTACCAGATGCTCACATCCCCACAGGTCTTGGGGCAGTGTGCAAGAGTAGCAAGAGAGGGAGGACCGGCTCCAGATGCCACCAACATGACAGCAGATGCCAAACTCCACACCAACAGCAGCTGCATCGTGGCGATTACAATTCCCTTTGCTGAACCCATAAGATGAGAGACAACAAAACACCCTGTATTATAGTGCATAGCCTATCAATGGTTATGTGGTGGACATTTGCAGGAACACTTGGGGGACTCATGTCGGTCCTTACCGGGTAACTTCTCATGGATGGACTTCTTGGGCAGGACTAATTGACTTGGATCAGGTAACACGTCCATACAGGTGTACAGAACAGGCGTGAGTGCGATGCCCAATTGTGTCTACTACTCCATGGTAATCTGATATTCCAATTCCAGTCTGGGCAGGTGCTGCACGCCTGCATCCAGGTCGTGTACATACTACATACTGGGGGTGACGTATGAGCAACTCTAACTTGTGAATTGGGGCTTTGAGGATCCACAGAGCACTATCACCACACATCTCGAAAGGAAACCAAATGTGAATTTCAATCCCTAGATTTCTACTGTTCAACGATGTGGTGGAGCTAGAAATGGAACACAGGAAGATGCAATCGAATTCCATCGAAAGACTCTTGTGGGAAAACAGAAAAGCCATGTGCACGCGCACCGCGTGGATTCTGTATGTGGGGAGGGAGGATTTCTACCACGGGAGCAAGAGAGTCGCAGGTGTTAGAATATATGGTGTACCTCTCTGTAACCGTAGATCCGGGAAGGCTCCTCGCCCTGGGTTCCTCTGCACGCCTGGCTGCAGCCTCGCGGACGCCGGTACTTGGCACGGTGGTGAGGAGGCGAGGTGGCGATACCGTGGAGGTCCAGAGGGGACGGTGTAGACCTGCAGGGGCGACGACGGTGCGGTGGGACACATCCCGTCGCTGGCAGCGCCTCTTTAGGATCGGATTAGGGTTTTCTATGGGTGGGATGGCGGTTTCAGTGAACCTCGTCATCCGAGCCTTGATCTCCACCTTCCTTTTATGTGTGCTGTACGACAGGGGCCCACCAACCGTATTAGGGTTGGGCTCCCCCGATCAGGGAGCAGAGACAAGGGCCCAATAGGCCGTTTGGCCTATTGGTGGAGATCAACTAACATTCTCCCCTTTGATCTCATTCCATCTTTCAATTTCATATCATTTACTTTTGTTCATTCCATTACAGATTAGCACATAGAGCATGTCTCATCGTCATGATTCATTGCCGATAGACTTAACAGCTACAACACACTACTCTGTTCTTAAATAGAGACTTATCTTTGGGCCTTCTTTTGTCCAGGAATTTTAAACTTTCCCTTAAACCCACGCTAGCTACATGTTCTCTGAATACCATGTTCTCTGAATATGTTGGGTGGTAAGCCTTTTGTAAGCGGACCCGCAAGCATTCTTTCTGTACTTATATGCTCAAGACTTATGACTTGATTCCGGACTTTATCTTTCACAACATAATACTCTATGTCAATGTATTTGGCAGCACCACCTGACTTATGTTGTGAGCATACTGTACTGCCAGATTATAATCGCAGTATAACTTAAGTGGTCTATAGATGTCGTCAACCACCTTTAAACCGGGTATGAACTTCTTTAGTCAGTTCACCTGCCCGTTGCCTCATAACACACAACAAACTGTCATACATTGTGGACGATGTAGTGACAGTTTGCTTTGAGCTTTTCCATAAAATAGCTCCCCTTTGCGAGATGATAGAAAATCCACGTCTGGATATGTATTCACTCTCGCATAATCAGAATCTGAATATTCCACTATGTGGAATGAATCAGAACTTCTATATGTTATCATGAGGCCTTTCATTCATTTCAAATAATGCAAGACTTTCTTTACTAATTTCAGTGTTCTATTCCAGAATTGCTCTGGAATCTGCCAAGTAAAACCCGATAACAAATGTCAAGTCAGGGCGCGTACATACTTGAGCATGTTGCAAGCTTCCGACAGGTGAAGCATATGGAACCACTTTCACTTTATCAATTGAGCTCATATTGGTTCCTAGGGCATTGAAAATCCCCATATCTGTCGCCCTTGACTATAGGAGCAGGTGAGGTACTACATTTGTGCATACTGAATTTCTTTAAGATATTTTCCATGTATGACTTTTGTGACAGTCCTTATACCTTTTTCTTCTATCTCGGTGAATCTCGATTCCTAGAACGAACGAGGCTTCACCAAGATCTTTCATATCAAATTTCTTTGTCTCCAGTAGTAGACTGACATCACTATTAGCAAGTAAGATATCATCTACATACAAGACAAGGAAGATAAACTTCCCATTCTTAAACTTTGTATTGACACAATTGTCCTCTATATTCTCTTTACTTTGTATAGACACAATTGTCCTTTATATTCTCTTTAAAACCCAAAATTCTTTATTGTCTGATCAAACTTCAAGTACCACTGTTTTAAAGCTTATTTTAATCCATAAATAGATTTCTTTAGGCGGCATCACATTCGTTCTTTTCCTTTCATGACAAAATCTTTCGGTTGTGCCATGTAAACATTTTCCTCCAAGTCTCCGTTGAGAAATGCCGTCTTTACATCCATTTGATGTAATTCTCAATCGTAATGTGCCACTAATGCCATTATGATTCTGAAGGAAACTTTACATGAGACTGGAGAAAATGTCTCATTGTAATCAATACCTTCTCTTTGCATATAGTCTTTTGCCACAAGTCGCGCTTTATTTTTCTCTATATTCCCTTAAGAGCCAAGTTTTGTTCTGTAGACCCATTTACAGCCTACTGTTTTGGCTCATTTAGGAATTATTTCCATATCCCAAACTTTATTGGCATTCATTAATTTCATTTCATCTTCCATGGTCTCAAGCCACTTTGATGAATGATCACTTCTTATGGCTTCTTCAAATGAGGTGGGATCATCCTCCATTTGAAATTCCTCAGTGTTGTACACTTCATAATCAGCAGGAATAGCTGATTCTCTAACTCTTTGAGACCTTCTAGGGGCCTCCACTTTTGGCACATCTTCTGTTTGAGACTGTTGTTGCTCCCCTTCATGTGTGGCAATAGGTTCTATAGAATCCTGAAGAATAGGTTCCTCATCGTCATTTATTGTTGCCACAGGTGGGATAACAACAGGTGCTGACACCATAGTCTCTTGCACTATCGGTGCAGCGACAACAGGTAGTGAGAAAATTGGCTCATGAGTCATTGGAGTGGGCGCATACACCCGCTTCACTTCAAGGACAATTTCTCGAGCTAGCATGCTCCCCCTCATCAATTCATCCTCTAGAAAGACAGCGTGTCTCGTTTCCATAAACTTTATCAGTCTCTCTGGACAGTAGAAACGAAAACATTTTTACTTTTCTGGGTAGCCAAAGAAATGGCACCTTACTGTTTTGGGATCTAACTTCCCAATGTTTGGGTTAAATACTTTAGCCTCAGCAGGGCTCCCCCCACACACGCAAGTGGTTTAGTGAGGGTACTCTTTCTGTCCACAACTCATATGGTGTTTTCGACACCGACTTTCTTGATACTCTATTGAGAATATGAATGACGGTTTTTAACGCCTCCATCCACAGGCTCAACTGTAAGCTGGAGTAACTTATCATACTGCCCACCATATCCATCAGGGTGCGATTGATTCTTTTAGCTACTCTATTCTGCTGAGGTTCGCCCGGTGTAGAATACTGGGCTACTATGCTATTCTTTTAGGGTATGCTGACCGTAGTACTTCTCCACGGTCAGACCTGACTATCTTAATCTTTAATATCTTAAATTTATCCAATACATCTTTTCTTTCTTTGATTGATAAATATAGCCATAATGGGAGTAATCATCTGTGAATGTTATGAACGGATCATAACCAACCACACTCTTTACAGAAAAGTTGACCATAGATGTCTGTGTGAATAATCTATAAAATTTCTGCGCTTCGTTTGTCATATTTCTTAATCTTCTTTACATACTTTCCTTTTATGCATTCCCTACATTGTTCTTAATCTGAGAGCTCTAATGGAGGAAGAATATCGTTCTTAACTTGTCTTTCTATTCCCCCTCGAAATATGGCCTAAACGACAGTGCCATAATTTGAACAACGCATCATGAGCTCTCTTATGCCACCATTTCTAGAGTAACACTCTGTCACCAGCTGCTTTATCAGCTAGGTAGCATATGTCTTTGAAGAGTCAGTGAACTGACTCTTTATTCTATCGAGGTACTCGGTGACTGTGTCACACTCTGGGATTGAGCCCACAATTGCAGGTTCAATCATGTTCTTTATCATAGCCAAAACATTTCTTGTTGGTAGTGACCCACTTCCTATGCATAAAAGTCATAGGACTATCTTTTGAGATTCAAAATCCCTCTCTTTAGTTGCCCAAGTGGCATCATTATCTTTTGTCTCCCTCACTGGTGCCACAAACTCAGTGGAACACGGTGAGGTGACCACCCAGTCTACCTTAAACAAGATGAAAACTAGGTCAAAACTTTTTTATCATAAGAATAACACCATTTGCATGCCTTGATTCCAACGTTGGTCAAAATCAAAACATACAACTATTCTTATACACTAATTATACATCACCGTTGGGCAGGAATAGAATTAATGCATAAATCTTTAACTTTCACAACTGTTTTTACACAATAATTCTACATCACCGTTGGACAGAAATAGAATTAATGCATAAATCATTAAAATTTACAACTCTTCTTATACACTAATTCTACATCACCGTTGGGCAGAAGTAGAATTAATGCATAAATCATTAAAATTATCAACTTTTCTTATACACTAATTCTACATCACCGTTGGGCAGAAGTAGAATTAATGCATAAATCATTAAAATTACGATATTGTTATTAACAACGTTGGTCAGAAAATAACAACATCATAATCATGTCAAATCTCTTTTTCTCCAATTAAATACCACATTGGTTCAAAAATAACTAGAGAATCAACATTTTCTTTAGCAGCGGAAAAAAATCTCTTTTTTCTCCAATTAAATACCACATTGGTTCAAAATAACTGGAGAATCAACAACTTTTCTTTGGCTGTGGAAAAACTCTCTTTTTCTTGAATTTTACCCACAGGGAAAATTG